GACAGGATCAGTGAGCAATATACATTCCAAACTAGCTTAAAAGCACAGGCTGCCTCAGAAAGTGGATGCACATACTACCAGTATCAATCCAGAAGGGTACTAGAAAATTGAGACACATAAGTTATACTGGGACCGCAGTATTCTGACAGACAGGACAATTCAGCACAACACTGATATTACTCTTTGGGACAAATCTGCAAAGAAAGTTTGGTTTATTGAGATGTTGCATTCGTAATTACCAGCAACATGATGACAATATACCAGACTTAAATAGAGAACAGAGAACTAGTATTGTGCCGTTAAAGAACAATGGAGAGTGTCAGAGTGAAAACCATCCAATTGTACTATCAGCAACTGCGTGATACCAAAAACTTTCTGCATGATCGCTGGAGAACTCTCGAAGATAGAGAGTATGATGATAAATATATCTAATAGTTCTCAGTGAGAGAGTGCGTAAGCAGTTGTTTAAAGCATGCATATCACCTCATAGCCAAGGGCAGCAAAATCACAATATCAGAAGATTTCGAGAAGAGTTGCAGATATAAAATTATCACACAGCGGAGATATATTTTTTGACAAAAGCAGTCTCTCATCTCTAGTGTTTCATAGTGTATGTATTGATTCGTGAGAGAGTTGCATATAATCAGCAATATTAGAAATCCGAGGTTTTAATAAAGCAAAGACAGTCGGTTGATGACGTCGGGGGTGTTGGAGTCCAATCTTGGGGACACAGTTTATTTTACTTTTTATTGATTAAGAAAATTCCTGATTTCTTTGTTAGGATTTTAAAATTATGCTCTGGTTTAAGCCAACATGCTCTGATATTCGTATCTGTGTGGTATATAGTGAAACAAAAACTTGTGAGAACAAATATAATACATAATAATATAAAAGTAATAATGAGATAAAATAATCAATATAATAATATAATAATAAATTAATGAATATAATGACTTCACAGCGGGGACAACGTTGCTCGCGTCGGTGGTCTAATCAAGTCTCTCCTGGTACTGCTAAATGAGCAAAAGTGATCTACGGTTTGACCATTGTGGGAGTGTGTACTCTGCAAGCTGAGGGATAGTCTGCGCGGGGCGTCTATACTGGTCGGCGCGTCACCAAATGGCTAACATGCCAAGGGTGGGTGTTGGCTAACAAACAACAAACACATAAGCCCGAACTATGACATAATATATATTATTACATATATCATTTTCAAAATATTTCTTGAGTGAGGAACACTACAGGGTACAATTGCGCGATTTGCACGCATCGGGATTTTAATCCTTGGCTAAGTCAACTGCTACGTTGATTATAGAGGATTTTGCACACGCGAAAGTAAAATTTAAAAAAAAATTCAGCAAAGAAAACCGTAATTTATGAAATCAAATGGTATTGCCTCGTAAACATCAGCTACGAACACTCTCGAGATAGTCCACGATACGTCTCATTCTAAAAACATTTTATCTTTTGCTTATGCGGACGCCTAAATCTAAATTCGTCCTCACAAATGCGCTGGTGGTACGCACAAATTAAACGAGTCGATTTATTGAAAGTCAACTACTTTCTGCAACTTTTCCCTTGCAACTTCCTTTTCGTTGGTTATTCTGGGGAGGGTGCTGCCGTAAAGTCTTTAAGGATCAGTTGCCACTGTTGAAGAAGAGGATGTGGTGTCAGGTATATAAAACAAAATAGTTACCTAGGCCCCTTACAGTAAAGGACCTGTAAGCATGATGGTCTACCGTATTGAAAATACACATCTAATTGATACATTTGACATGCATATTTACTTCGTACTGCAGAGTCAGCATGGTGAATGGTTGAAGATTTTTATTTAGCATGTGCCGTAATCTCTGAATGAGAAGGCAAAACCGCTGATCCACACGAACAAGAGTCGGTGCGCTCATAAGCAAACAAGTATCGTTTCAAAGTTCCTGTATCACAGCTTGGCAGTAGCATAGGTACATGATGGTCAAAGGAACATTTCATGTTTTATGTTACCATTCCTTAGTATTTATACAGTTCTATCGTATTAAGTTAGACAGTCAATCTTAAGGCAGTAATGTCGTTTCTAGTAACTGAATATTAAACTGTCATTTAGAAGTTTTTAATACTTTTTAGGCGTTAAATAAATGAAGTTCTGCCAGGCACTGTGTCAATGTCTCCATTATTCTGAAGAATCTAAATGTTCAACAAAAATACACTTTTAAAAGCCAACAGTTTTCTTCCCTACGTGACTTTGCGTAGTATTAAGTGCTATTTATAAAATCTACAAGTAACTTTCTATATGTTGATGAACTTTCTATAAGTTGAAATTTTCATAATGTGACTGTTTCGACATAGCGGCAGAAACGATAAAATACGTACCAGTCTGTCGAACTGAATATCGTTATCACAAAAAGAAACAATGAATTCCATTTGTCATCATCAGTCTCAAGCATAAGCATACATCACACTTCTTATCGCACTTCTCTTTCTTCAGAGCTTAGTTCCGCATAAATTATAGAAGACAAGATTACCAAACATGTGTTGTGATCATTATGGAATTTGAGGAAATCCTAAAAGACATGTCTATGGGTTATTATAGAAATCATGCAATTTGACAACATCGTTGAATATTTATATTGATGTTGAATATTGATTTAATGTTTTCTGACTTGATTTAGTATATGAAGTAAGACGTTAACGTATGTTTAGACGTTAAATAAGTGAAGTTCTTCAACGCATTGTGCCACTGGGTACACATTTAGTATGTTAAATTCCTGCAATTGATATATTTTGTTATGTCATAAGAATGTTTTCGTACTACATTTTGTAAAGGTAACTCTTCTGTAAAAATATACGTTCAAATAAACCTTTCACATTTGTGCACATTTGTACACATTTCCTTAAAAATGACAGATTTTTCAAAAAAATTATCAGACAATAAACCCCCAGTTGGTGAACATTTAAAACCTGCAAAGGAAAACAGTTATTCAAGTTTCGAGGATGAACGAATTATTTAAAATGCGTATTTCATATATAAGTATTTAAATACTGCCCAACCCTACATATTGACAATCGTACAATATTTGGTGCAAAAACTAAATATTTCAAACAAATATCAACACATATTTGACAATTACAACTTATTTTCATGCAGGTAAATCATGTCACAACAATAAGACGCAAATAAAAAAATGAGCTTCAGAGTCCTTGTAGCTTTCCAATCTGGCAAAGTCGTTCTTTTATGTGAACGGTTCTTTACACGAACGTTCTTTTTAATAAAGTAGTTCAAGATAGTTCATTTATTTTCATGACGTTTATTTTCATTTATTTTCATGAATTCGATACAAAAGTTTAAGTCCCAAGTAAAATCTTTTGTGCTGCACAACTGTTTCTATACAATTAGAGACTATACCGAGCATCCAAAAGACAAGTGATATTAATTTTAGCAATGATATTTAATGTGTTTTATACCGTTTAGATTGTGTAATTGTAAAGAAACTAACAAGTATTGTACTTCAGCTTCTCGGTCAATGACCCCCATCTCGATCAGGTTTTCGTTCAGTTTCCCTGATCCTGGAACAAATGCTGAGATGGTCCCTTGTTTTGATTCTGGACATAAATGTAACTTCAAATTAATTTCTTCCCATAGGACGTCACACACAGTTTTAAACTGTTTTAGACGTAAATAAATAAATAAAGACGTAGATAGGGATACCATGTTGGGCGGAAAACCGTCAAATGGCAAAAAACAAGTGTCGACTTGCGGAAAGAAATGCATTTTGCGGGATTTCGGCCATTGATCAGAATGCGTTGTTTGTTGCGAGGAATTTAGGTGGTATGATTCTTTTCTTAAATTGTCAATAATACATTTTACAACTAATTGTAACAGTATTGATGTCTTTTGAAATAAATAGCCTATGTACAAGTGTTCTAGTTTTGAACACCTTATAAATATAATTATAAAAATACGTCCGAGCCCATTTTTTAACATGCATTTTGCTCCATTTTTAAAAAAATTTTACAAGTATTTAAATCATTAAACTACACTTAATAGATAGACTTCATGCACTTCATGCACAAGAGTACTTTTTTTTAATTATCACCTCCAGTATCAGAGACAAATTTATTCATTACTTACAATTTCTTTCTCACTAGAGAAGATGATGACAAATACAAACATGATGATTAATGGTGGAATTGGGCTATGCTGAAACGAACTTTAGAATTTTCGTGGAATTCAACGATGAAGAATGCAGAGGAGACACGTAGCAAACAGTAAACAGCAACAGCAAAGTGACAAAAAGGGATGTACAATATATACGGATAATGGGAATATCAAATTTTGTTAGAAATTAGAAACTTCAATAATATGATAGGGGGTCTAAATGTCCATGCATGCACGAAGAGGTAAAAAAAGTATATGAATGTGTGTAATGTAAATAATGGTGTGAATGGGAATATTAAATGTGTAAAAGTTTTCGAAAGTTATTATTGCTTGTTGTTTTGTTTTGATTGCTGTAGAAATGTATTGTGCATGCTTTTTTTGTTTTGTTTGAGCTGAAGAGAAGCAAATGATAACGTTTTGTTTACTGAAAATGGGTATTATTATATCGTACTGGTAAGGAGAATTTCTGGGTCCAAATTTTTAGTTATCTTAAATATTAATTACGTAGATTTCGTGACCGCAACTCCGGAATGACGGTCCTCCTCACCTATTAAATATTTTGTTCTTACGACGGATACACTCGGCGATCAGTGAGTAGCCTATTATAGATTGGTATAAATAAATGAATAGAAAGTATGTGTTAATAGTAAATTACTCAATTAGTATAAGGGCGATCTGCCATTTCGGCATGACGACGTGAGGATATGTAATTAGACACAGAGAAATAAAATTATTATTACTATTCACGTTTTTACAAGTTTGATTGAAATAATAAATACCATACAGTTCGTCAAATAAAGGAAGGAAAATCCACCGGAATTATTTTTAATTTTACTAAATGTATTCATTACATCTTTCAGTTGCGAACTTTCGACACATAGTGCCTCTGTACGGATAAGGTACTGAACAGGGCTTAAATGAATATTTGCTCAATTAATTTCTGATTTTTAGTTACGTTTTTTTTTTCAAATATTCCTGGGACACCATCAGTAACAACAGATACAATGTGCTAAAGTGATAGACCTTTCCAATGCATAGTTTATTTCTCATACTGAAAAATATCTTGCCTTGTGGTTCCTTTCATATGTACAAGATAGAAAACTTTTTTTATAATTTCGAACTTTTCTGTCACTCCTCTTATAAAGACACATATCTGTTCAGTATCAGAGACAGTTTTACGTTCACCTAATGCAAATGGGTAATCAAGTCCACCTTTCATAATTTTTGAAAGTTGATGGTCCACATCTGCTGCTATGTCATGGATTCAACATACAATAGCATTTCTGGGTAAAAAAGTGAACTGAAATTTGGAACTTCACTGGGACACATATGTTTTAGAGCAGTCTGATTCATTATTTGAACATACTCACCATCTGTGAAGAGATGACATTCTGATGCTATGATGAATTCTATGATGATTCATAACTGACCCTCCGAGCTGCTGACGATGAACATTCCATGCTTACGTCCTGCAAATAAAGTAAGTATTTAACTCAAATACACTCATACTTTGTGTAAATTGATACAGACTCAATTATTTTATTGGTTATTTCATTTGAACGTTGCCTCAAACACTATAGTAAATTTGATCTTTCTTTCCCCATCTCTTTCACCAACTACGTTTTTATATTCAATCTTGTTTTATTCCAAATTGTTATTTTATATTATTACTTATTCCTTTATTTGAAGTAATTAATTACACACTAAACATTTCGCTTTAGTACCAATATGTTTACACAGGAACGCTTCCTCCCAATCTGGATCAAAATATTTTGAACCCCTGGAACACCTGTTGCAGGATTCAACAACGCCATCACTATCTGAAAACGGCACGTTCTCTACTGGTTGTATCCTCTGCCGACGCTAGTTGCGCTGAGAAGCTCTCGTGGCATGCCACAGTCCGGTGCAGTGAAGCGTGCCACTGCCAGTGCCACTGCCACCGACACCTTGACCTTGACATCACTGCACTCACTAGGTGTCCTTCTGCACTCAGACTCGCATACGGCGCCATCACCTCAGTGTCAACCGGGCATACCTACTTCACCAGTCAGTAGTGGAGGGGGGGATGTAATTCGGGGCAACAGTTATGTCATGTCTGTCGAGATATATTCCAATGCAAATAAAGCATAAGTAATGGGAATTCTTGTGTTCAATCATGATGTTCATCGTATTTACCATTTCGCTATGAAGATACGGAAGAGGAAGGACTATTAAGATCGCCCGCGGTCCGTTTGTTAGGGTACTGCTCCGGCATTTGAACAGACAAACCACGCGAAACTACCGATCAGAGTTCCGCGGCCGCGATAAATTTGCTGCAGACAGCGGCTGAATTCTACCTTGTTGACAATGTATCATCGAAAATCCTGCCACTCTCGACTCGAAATCTAGAACCTCCCGATGAGAGGCACGACTGGGAACCAGACTGTTCTAAGTCCATTTTACTAAATTTTCAGGAGATCCATTTAAAGTTTTTGATTTTAGTGGGTAAGTATGTTAGGGTTAGTGTGAAATGAGTTTGTTGGGTGCTAACGGAGTGGAATATTTACAAATTTGTCTGATCACAACAGGAAGATACAGCATCATGAAACGGAAATTAATTTTGTTACAAAATTGGACTTAGAACAGTTTGGTTCTCAGCCATGAAGCTGACGCCCTGATCCACCTTTGCCGGTCTCAATATTTATAATTTTAGTGGTTTCAAAATCTAAACCATGTGAGACGTCAACGCGGTGCTGTATTGTATAATTTTGTCTCTAAAGTAACTCGGGGATGTTAGAGGATATTATGCGGTTATGGCACTAAGATCGACTTTGAGGAGGTAGTGGGGATGTTCGATACGTGGTCACATTCGTATATTTTTCCCATTCGAGTGATTGTCTCTGAGAGTGAAAAGTAATGTAAATCACATAAAATACAGCATATGACTGCCTAAAAACGAGACTCATTCATGATAAATGATTTAAGGGCATTCCGTCTGAAAGATACTTTAATCAGAGTATTAAATTCATGATTATATGGGTACCTCCCGAGGGCCACACAAAACGTCGATTCCCTCTTCATAAATACAAGATTCTCGCACTAAATATGATAAATAAATGATGAATATATCTGAACGATTGCATGATTGCGTACTAATTGCATGATTATAATCATGGCCGTAAATAATATTAGAGTGTCGGATGTAAGACAATTACAAAAAAACAATATTTTGTCATCAATATTAAATCCAGTTAACAGACACCATGAGGAGAGTGAAATGGAGAGTATTAGTGCCTGTTATCCTCTCACAAAAATTGGCAAGAACTTGTGTGAATTACTGAATACGTCATTTCAGTCAACAAGCGCTCACGGTATTTGCGTATGTTGCCTGACGATCTTCCTTCGCTTTGGCTGCGGATTGTATGTGTGTTTGTCAACAGCTTTTCCCCAAGAAAGACTGTCACCGTCTGTAACCCCATAAGTTAACCTTGAACCACACACAAGACTGACACTTCGGTGTACGGGATTTGAGACCAGTAAGGTTATCTGGGCCACGAGAGTCTCGAAATACGCGAAAGAAGCCCCCTGGTCGAGGCTCGATTCGCCGGGTGCCCGTCGGATGTTTGCGAAGCGGTGGGGGCCGGTGTCCACCTCGACCGGAAGTTGCGGTTCGGTGCATGGCGTGGCATCTTCCGCAGTTGGGCGCGGCGACACGGAGCGGGGCGGGGCGGAGTGGAAAGGTGCAGGACATGACGAAGCGGGACGGGGCAAGGCGGAACGGGTCGTGGCTAGGCGGAGCGGGGAGGGGCGGAACGGAACCGGGCGAGGCAAGGTGGAGCGTGGTGGACGGAGCGGGCGGGGCGGGGGGGGGGGCGCGGGGCGGGAGGGCGTGGTGCGAGGGGCGGTGGCGGGGGAGGGCGCTGGGCCGGGGCCGGAAGGGTCGGGGCGGGATGGGAACGGGACGGGACGGAACGGGACAGGAATGGACGGGACGGGACGGGACGGGGAACGGAACGGAAACGGGACGGGACGGGACAAGACGGGGACGGGACGGGACAAGACGGGACGGGACAAGAACGGGATCGGCACGCGGGACAAGACGGGACGGGACGGGACAAGACGGGCGGGACGGGACAGAGACGGACGGGACGGGCACGGGACAAGACGGGACGAACGGGGGAAACGGATCGACAACGGGAGACAAGGCTGTGTACAAGACGTGGACTGTGGGACATAGACTTGGATCGTTGGACATCAGACTGGTTGTACGGGACATTAGACTTTGGACGTGGACATATGATCGGGATCGTGGACAAGACGGGAACGGAACGTTTAGGAGTGGTGGCTGTGAGGGCTGTAGTGGCGGAGAGTTGTGTGTAGGGCTGGCGCGGGTTCGGGTTGGCGCGTGGCGGGTGGGCGCGGGCGGGGCGGGGCGATGCGGGGCGACCTCACTTCGCGCATCTGCGTTGCGCAGATTGTTGCGAAAGCGGCGGCGACCGATGTGAGTTCGAAGGATGACAGTGCGATGTGGCATGACGAGTCAATAATGGCGACACCGGCAGCGTAGCGCAGTGTGTCTCGAAGGTGGTAACACAGGTTGGTTAGCGGTTGCAAAGTTGAATGCGCTGTGGTGACGAAAGTTGAGTGCGCCATTGGACGAGACCGGGTCAATGGCAGAAAGCGTCGCTGCGGCGGCTGACCGCAGCAAAACGCAGATACGGGAGCGGCGGCACGTGTTTGGCTCAGTGTGTGCAAGAGGAAGAATGGCAACGGAGAGAGGGGGTGGGGATGCGGGCGGGCGGCTGAGTCGAGGCCATGACAGTGCAAGGCTGCAGAGGCCGCGCGCTGGGAGGCAGTCAGTGCCAGGAAGACGCCGATAGCCGCGAGAGGCGACAGCTCCATTTCTCCGCCACTCAACCGCGTGTGAGTACTCACATCCTCTCATTTGCTTAATGCAACGTGTGGTCTTAGGGCTTCGTTTATTATGTTAGGATAGACTAACCATTCCGAAACATATTGTTTTTATAAATCCTCCTCCACTGTTCCAGTGAAGAACTACGCTATTTGTGGAGCAAAAAAATGTATACAATTTTTAACTGCAAGAAAGTGTGATTTCTGATAATTCCACTAAATATGTAAGGGCTGCACTTCGAACAATCCCGTCAATCTACAAATACTCTTAATTTATTATTATTATTATTATTATTATTATTATTATTATTATTATTATTATTATTATTATTACTATTACTATTATTATTATTTACTCTTCTTTTTATTATTTTATTGCTAGATTATGAAGAAAATTAGTAACGAAAATAAAAGTAGTGCATTACAGGACAGTTAACCGATTGTGATGCAAGCAGCAAGCATGTAGGAAAATAATATTCCAATACCTGAAAATTGCCTTTACATTATTGTCATTGGTATCCATTTTAATGATTTTATTATTTAAAAGCTTACAGTACTATAACAGAATTTTCATTCGTAGACAATGTGACCATCAGTTTATTTTAAAAAATCGCATGCCACGGCTTGACGAATGTCTTATTTTTAATTACATTCCTTTTCTTTTCTTTTATTTTGACAACTTATCCTCCATTGCTTATTAATACTGCTACTATTATTGAATGGTTAAATGAGTAAGTGAAAATGTAGCGAGTCCTACTACTTGGGCTACCTAATAAATTTCAAATAGTCAAATTTTGTGGGTCTCAGGCAGATCAAAACGGAAATTATGTACATTAACAGGTATAAATTGACAATGTTTTTTTAATGTTTATGCACATTTAATTTTAATTTTTTTTACTGATAGCAAGTTTCTGTAGAATATTTTAATTATTGTGTGTAAGATACTTTTTAGGTAAAAAGAGTAACTTCAGGTTATATTTTCTGGATTTTGATATACGAATGACAGATACACACTTTACATATAAACCGCACAATTACATAATCACAACACTATCATGTTCTTTGTCACTTTAGGTCAAACTCCTGAAAAAAGTATTGATAATAGTAATTATTAATAATAATTAAATAACAAATATGCCCCAATGTAAATAATATTATTAATATTATTTACATTAAGAAATCAGGATTGGGAGCTGTTCAGAAACTATGAAACGCAAATTTGGAGTATCTTGAATACCTTATCTCCTCTTAAATCTGCACGCAACGCTTACGATACGAAGACCCCAACTTTAGAATAAGTAAAAATTAATTATAAAGCAGTAGCAACGAGTTGTATTAACTTTATTTGTGTTACGAGTATATATTAAAATTTATGATAATTAAAGTCAAAATTAGTTGTAGTTAGCGCGTAACAACGATATTGGGGACAAATTCTGAGTGAACGAAAGATGCGTAGGCCAGAATATTTCTGACAAGCCTTTCACACGCTCTCGTGGATAATGCAGTCTATTGCACCAAATTAATTGAATTCTTAAATATTCTGGGGATCATTTTTGAATATTTTCTTCGTAATCTCATAGATTGAAACAATATACTATTGCTAAAAAAATATTTCCAATTATTGTAACAATTTATAATAATAACTTTTAATTTATTTACATTTTTAATTTAATTTGTTGATATTTTAATGTTTCAGTATACGATTGAAGAAAAGGGATTATTTGAACCATTATTGAAACATTTAAAAAATAAAATCAGTATTGCTGCTCTGGAGAGCTGAGGTCTATATCTGAAGGGTCGCAGCTGCATCAGTTCGAAAGAGCGAGTGTACGAATCCCGCCTCGGGCATGGATGTTTGTGTTATCCTTGCATGTTCCCTGTACAGTTTTTTTAAAACTTGTTTCGTCTACTAGTACATAGACGAAACTCGTCTCCAGGCCCTTTGGTTGATAGCTTTGTGCTTGACACAATCTTCCATTAATTGCGCAGGAGTAATCCTCCATTTATATCGTCACGTCTCGTAGTTAGCAATCACAGTGGTCGCTATATGACTTTGAAGTTAAAAAGCGATAAGTAAAAATGAGTATTATGTAACACCAAACTATGATCCTCCCTACGTAACGCAACAAAATGCTGCGTCACCCCCTCCACCTTAGCTTTACGTAATTTATGGGCGACTCCTTGTTAAAAGGAATATAATATTTGCTGTTATTTATTGCAGACAAACATAAACAAAAATTCACCCTTGGAAATAGTTCAGTGAAGTTTCTTTGTGAAATTCAATAATTCATCTGAAACCTAACAGACTTTCACTTGTTCATGATTTATTCTATTGTTCTTAACGTACTCTCATTGTTCCTCGTCACATTCATTGATGCGCTTGGGAAGACGAGGTTTCGTAACAATGTGAATGACGAAATCAGACGATAAAAACGATGTATTGGTAAGTTGATCTACTACGAAACAGGTAATATTGAACAAAGCATGGCTAATGACACAGTCATGAGAGTAATGTCTGTGGGTGAGGTTCACCCCCTCCACGATGAATTTTCTTGAACCTGAAGTTTAAAGAGGATATATATTTATAGGTTATAGATTACAATCAGGAAATTTGAAATTTTCTGTACCCCCCTCGAAAATCACGGATCACTCACACAGTTTTGTATAAACTGCACACGTATTTTCCACATTATACATATAGCCAATTTTCATTTTGTAATGGAGAAAGTGATTAAATATATTAAATTTTATTCGTCAATAATTTATTGCATTAAATCGCACGATGTAAGCAATAAATGCCCTTAGTAATGATCCTTTTAAAACTAAGATTTTTGAAAATGTGTTAATATAGAGAGGAATAATGCAATAACCACAAGAAATATATGCAAGAAAACTTCATAAAACAAAGCAACAGTAAAAGTTAACCCACCTAATAATCTTACGAGTATCATCTTTTTAATGTCTATATTCCAGTACTCGTAAGAAGAAATTATGATTGACGTCATCAAAGCACAAGAGGAATGAAACGTCTACCAAACTTATAATTTTCAATGAGAATTGTTTCCACTCTATATTACAGTTGTCAGTGAACGGCCTTTAAAGCATTTTTATTGTTAAAACACACTTTTTCTAAAATATATTTCTTCACTTATCTAAAAAAAGTTACGATTTACGAGATGTATTACTTTTCTTGCGCACGCCGAAATAAAAATTTGCATCGAAAGAAGGTATGTAAGCAGGCAGAGTATGTAAAAAAGCATAGAAACATATCACAATGTACTTGTATTTCTATTTCAGCATCAGAGATTTTGATAACTATCTGATATTAAATAATAATTCAAAAGAATTTTTAAAAATACAAAAATCGTTTTGATTTGTCTGCATCTTTAACTGTCAAAGATTATAAATGGTTGAATAATGTCGAGGGCAAGGGAAATACACTTTTCTTTGCAATCATTTATGGCTTGAGTTATGATTATAGGGTTACTAACAATGTTCATGTAAAAGGGAGGACACTCGATAAGCCAAAGAACGCATCAACATGTTTCTTTTTATAAATATTTAATTTATACTAACATCAGCTTATTCCTTTCTTCCTTCCATTTGCGAATAAAGCAAAAAGATTCGTTTCCAAATTGCAGATGAAGATGGTTTGAGCGTCTCTTTTTTACTTCAGTCCCCACACAGAGACGCTATCATGAATGCGTGTGTATGTTCAGAAAAAAGATATTCATGTTTTCTATTCTAAATTAAACAATAAATAATACAACGTAGCAGATGTTAGTCAGGTGATAAAATAAATTAAAATAAATGTTAAACAATTACAAAAGGGAGGGCATTTAAAATACAAGGGAGGACGAGAGGACAATTGACGTCAATGTAAGACGATTGGCAACCCTAAATGATTAATTCCTAGTAAAGAAGTCCACAAAAATAATGACAGAAGTTGCGGAATAAGGCACAAAAAGATCTCATGCAGAGGGGAAAAGTGCTGCTCCTGTAGGCGACTGGTACGACATATACGTCATGTGCAAAGTGGTTTTGTAAATATAACGCTAGCGCTCGTGACTTCTTACGTAACGAACTATTTGCTTGGAGGATTCTACAAAATTCGAGTCATACAATGTACGATTTAGACGTAAGTCAGAGAAATTTCCAAGGGCGATAATTTAAATAGCTGGAAACTAAATTTCAAGTATGATCTAACAGATTATTAAAAACACCATCTACAAAATTTTTAAGCATATAGTATATTTTTTTTTCAAAAAAATTGTCTGGGTAGGATGAATTTCATTTAATTTTAAAACGCCAATTTTTTAAGCTAATTAATTTCACGCAAATGTATCCTGATGTTATTTTCAACATCGTAGTCAATAAAAATTAAAAGTATTTCTACATTACTCCAACTTCTTCGTCTTTGCTGTTACTCCCCACCAAAGAGAAACACTAGCTCATTTCATGATTTTTTTATTATTGCTTCTTCCGTAGTAAGAAGATAGAATTTTCAACAGCAAACTTGTTCCAGGGTCCCGGTAACTAAAAAGTGGATAAATATTGTTCCTATAAGTAGTAATTACTTCCTCTAATACGTTGATAAATCAGAATATTTGCTGGGTTGTTTCAGGTTTACGCACTTTCTATGATGCAAAAGATTGCGTTTCTGAACTCACCGTTTCTAGCGTTTCTAAGAAAGGTCCATCGAACATTTTTATGCTAAAGCATCGTAAGGCAAGTTTTTAACCAGCGAAGAGCTGCCTAAGCAGGCGAAAGGTATCCCAACAAACCCGGAGTTGAGGCTTCATCCAATGACGGGAATTTAATTTCCAAAATTCTGAACACTAATACATAAAACATCAGCAATTCGTGTAAATTACGTTTATTAATAAACATCAGTCTGTATTCTAACATTACTTCCATAATTTTATGTGTACTGTCTTAGGTATGTTCACGTTCCGCGCACATGGTTCAGGCTTAGATTTCCAGTGTTCACGAGCTTTTGTATTAGTTTTCCG